AAGTTGGTTATGACTTCATTTTGGCGATTATTAAGAAGGTCTATAAGGATATTAATGATAGGTTGAGGGAGAGAAAGTCGATAGAGAGCGTGCCGAAAAAGGTCAAAATTAACTGAGTCGTAGGCTTTACTTATATCCTGAGATAGTAACCATAACTCTTTGTAGTTGCAGTTAGCATCTTTAATGAGATTGTTTAAAATATGAATAGGGATGAATGTGCTATTGTCTGGTAATACTATATAGTTAAAGGGTGAAAGAATAGAGTATATAGAAAAAACTTTATTAAGGCGGTAATCAAATAACATTAAACTTTACCAGGCGTTTATTATGTAAGGATTACATAATATTTAAAAAATCTAATGTTCTTGAAATTTATAAATTAATGCTTGAAATTCTTCAATATTTGGGTAGCAAGTGCATACTTATAAGTAGCTGTGTGAATACAAGTTTAATTTAGAAATGTTAAACAACTCCAACATATATAGCTTCAGATAAATAAATATTGGGTATACAACTAAATACAGCATAACTATATTAATATGAAACACTATAATTTAAACAAACAAGAAATGTCATAAGATTTTTAGATGTATATAAAATATAGTGTAAAAATACCTCTTTAAAAAGCATAGCATACTAATCCACTAATGCTAACCCTAATAATACATAACATCAGAATAGATATTAAAAATAGAGGTATTTCACACTACATATCTACAGAACACTAATATGCATAATTATAAATATTCTTTGGCAGATGATAATTATACAGACTAATGTAGATAAGAAGCTAAATAAGAGGTAAGCAGCTCATATTAAAACTTAGATCAATTAATCACTAAACTTAGAGACTAAAGATTCTTTCAATATGATTATCTAGTTACTAAGATCGTGCATAAAGTGCTGTGATTAATTGAAGCAATTCTTGATGTAATTTTGCTAAAGATTAAATAGAATTAATACCTCGAATATCTTACCAGATATTACTCGGGTATTTCTACCCAACTACCTGAGTATTATTCAAAGGTATTACCTGGGTATTACCCGGGTGTGCATATCCGAGTAGCTGTAATTACCACTCAGATATCTAACTATCTGCGGGTAAACTGGGTAATACCTGACCTGGGTGCAATGTCTAATTTTGCTATTTATCACCACTGGTGATCATCACCAGTGTTGCTATATATCAAAAATGTACTAAGTAATTAGAATCAGGTCTTCTAAGTAAAAATGTTCAGAACCCCAAAAACCTCACAAAAACAGAAATCAGGCTCTATCAGGCCCTTATAATAGCTCTATATTATATTATAAAAAATAATAATTCTCTAATTTCTAACTCTAACCCTAACAAATCTTAAGACTGGTGATGATCACTAGTGGTAATATGTAGTAATTTTCTTTTAAATAAATAATAATTAGAACTATAATTTTTATAATAAGCAAAAATAATTTTATATTTACAGGACTAACAAATTTACTTATAAGTGAATTATTTAATACATAATAATTCCTTTATACCCAAATAGTTTTTTTAATTAAAAAAATCTACAGTCAATAACTTAAAAAAAATTGACATTTTTGCAACTCTATGGAAAAATAGTTACAAAAATAATAAAGAAAATTACAGATAATATATGAAATATAATATTTATACAGTCAGCCTTCTATATAATCACATGATTTTTACTTAAGAACTTTTTAAAAAAATATGCTTATAAAGAGGTTAGGCTTATATGGAGATAGTTTTTCATAAGTTTAATAGTGATTTGTCCTTGAGTACAAAATGTGACAAAGAGAGGTTTTTATATGATGTGATTATAGGGAGGGTGATTATATAGAGGTATGACTGTATATGGAATAATAAGGTTATATAATAAATTAACACTAGATAAATATATTAAATAGATACAAAATTATTGTTCATACAGAATTAATACTTAATTAATATATTGAATAAATACGAAATAGCTGCTATTCTTAGTAAAAAAAAATTAATATATAAAAGTAATCATGAACTTAATTATGGCATAGGTCTACATTTTCTTGTAGCAGTTCATCTTAATGATCAATGCTATCTCTGATTGGATAAAATCCCTGATCATGGCAAAAAATGATCTGCAAAAATTAGCCAATCATAACAAAAGCCTGCTATACTTATTTATATAGCATAGTATTGTAAACCAGAAGTTTTTGATATATCAAATTTAAAAAAAAACAATTGACATTATACTTTACTAATAGAACAAATTCCTAGCGAGTGTCTTGTCAAGAAATAAAGGTGCATCGTTTTGCATCATGCGACTAAAGGTGAAAAGTTGAAGTAATAAAAAATATATCATAACTTGTTATTTAAAAATTTTTAATAACTGTAGTAGCTTAAATAAGTAGTATGATTCTCTACAATGTGAGTTTTTTTATTTTAAATTAAATTATGAAGAAATTATAATATACGGATTACGCTTGCTATTAGAGATAGATTGGTCTTTGTAAAGACCGGGACCAGACAGTAAATGACTGAGAACCAAATAATTCTCAGTCCTTGGTCAGGAATCGGTCCTGATTATATATGCTAGTAAAATACGGTGAAATGTGGTGAAATAATTTCACCACTATTGGTGAAATTGGTGGTGAATTGGTGAAATTGATGAAATTAATTTCACCAGCATCTATAGTCCTGATTATGGTTTAACAATGACTAATACTACTGATAAAAAAGCCGATAAAGAAAACAACACAAATAATAATAATAATAATAATAATAAAACTCCTTTCTAACTATAAATGATAACAGAAATTTCTTGCTTCTATCTCTCAATATGATAAAATAAGTGTCGAAGTTCCAATTTCTAATGAAATAAATGTTGATTTTTCGAACCTTAATAAAATTTCTGACTAAAAAAATAAAAAAAATTACAAGAGCTAGATTAGAAGAAGAACGATTCTATGGTTAAAGAGTTGGCTTCAAAAAGGAATTTGCAAATTGGATAGTTAAACATCCCTGTGTTCAATTTTTATATTACTGTAAATTAGCTTCAAATATAAAATACATATTCATATTTACGTTGCTGTATTTTTTTTAAATATAAATTTAATTTGTATTGTATTTTTTATAATATAAATTTGATGTGCTGTATATTTTATAATTTAAATTTTAAAAATTTGGCCGTTAATAAATAAAAGTTTTAATGTTATACATTGAAAATTATAAGTCGTGAGACCGATTCTAGGACCGAAAAGACAGACCGACCGGACTAATAAACATTATAAAATCGGTCTTATAGGGACTGATCCATCCCTACTTGTCTTGTTCAACGAATATCTAAAGTGAGGTCATGTGTTTATGTGATGATGGTTTGTATTTCTGAAAAATGAGAAAGTTCTCCATGCTAGATGATCTCTTTTATCATGAGGACTCTTTATTAGGCGAAAAGCTCCCAGCGCATGAACAGGCACAAACTTGTTTTGTTGATCGCAGTTCACATGTAAATCTTTATGCAGTGCTTATGTGCCCGATTTTTTGTGGCTGAGTTAGTGTAATGTGAAATATGATCACAATGAATGAAACAAATACACATAGTATAAATCATGTAACATACACACGCTCTTTATATTGTACCTAATCGCACTATAATGCAAAAAGATCAATATCATCACTATATTCCAAGGTTTATTCTTCGAAATTTTGCTATTAATAATCACGAAAGGATATTTGTGAGCAATGGAACATTATCCAAAAAACAAAAACAGAGATTTAAGGAAACGAATAAGAAAGATGCACTTCTTCAAGTTTATTATATAAATAGCAATCAATTTGACACCTCACCAGTTTCAAAAACTTATGGAAACATAAATATGTATAAAGATTTTAATCATGAAAATGTGATGCGAGTAGAAGATAAACTTTCTAAACTAGAAATGCAAGCATCAGATGTAATCCGTAATATTGTCAATGCTTCTCAAAATGAAAATCAGGTAGTTTTATCTAGTACAAGTCTCAATAATTTACGCAAATTTCTATTTATTATGAACTATCGAAAACCTCATCGACAGTCTCAATATATAAATCAAGATTTTGATCTCAGAACTTGGCCATTAATAACAAAATTTATGCAAGATTATAAAATACAACATACTCGAGAAGTTTGGCTACAAAATATTCGTGAAATACTAGATACTACAGATAAAGATATCCGAAATAATTTACAAATATTTAGTCCTGAGAAGAATGATTACATGGATTTCATGATGGACCGTTTTCTTGTAATTTGGCAAGCAGGAGAAAATGACGAGTTTATTACAACTAGTAACGGATTTGGAATCTATGACGGAATAAATGGATTATTACCATCTTCTAAAGGTCATTATGCCATCCGTTACTATTATATTATTTCTCCAAAGCTAGTATTGGTTCTTTGCTCAACTCTTTTACGAGAAGAATTTCGAGAATTTCGAAAGAGTAGACTTAATTCTAGTTTCTTTAATGATGTTCCTCATCCGGAAATACCGAAATTAGTTAAAATAAATAACGAAAGTGATGGAAATCAACGCGCATTTATTGATTCAATTCTAAATTCTCTAGGTTTCAAAATTGAGGAGTGTGACACACTTATTTTCCCCATAGTTAAAGTTAATTCGGCAACTGTTCACTTAGTGAATACTATCATACTTAATGAAACTATGCCAGATGAAGTTTTTTCCTTCCGTTCTCAATCAAATCTATATAAATCAATTATTAAATATCATAATAGCAAAGATCTCGATACAATAAAGCAAGATCACACAAGTTTGAAAAAAAAATTATTCATTGTTTTAAACAGAACTCATCAAGAAAACTTAAGTCTCCGGAAAATTCTTTCTGCTAACTATAGATCTAATTGGAAAGAATGTAAGATATTACAAAATTCTGATACTGAGAGGCAAGACCAATTACGAAATAATACTACAGAAATACTTCAGAATTCTAATCCTGATCTTAAGGTACGAGACCAAATCCGAGATAATCTTACCGAAATAGTTCAGGATTCTGATCCTGAGAGGCAAGACAAATTACGAAATAATATTACAGAAATACTTCAGAATTCCAATCCTGATCTTAAGGTACGAGACCAGCTCCGAGATAATCTTACCGAGATAGTTCGAGATTTTGATCCTGATCATGAGGTGCAAGACCAAGTACGAGATAGTTTCACAGGAATAGACAAATTGCATGATAATTTCACCATTATATTTCAGAATTCTGATCCTGAAAAGCGAGACCAACTACAGGACAACCTTGTCGATGAGGACTTAAAACTGTTGATGGATGAATTTCGCGAATTAACGATAACCTCGCCTAATCCAGCAATCCGTCGTTGGGCTATTCAGGAATATGTGATGCGAAAAAAGGGATTAGAACTTAATCGTAAAGTAAATAACAAAGAATGGCCTAACCCATATGTACAGTGTCTGTATAAAGGACCATTTGACAATGCTAAAATACCGGTCGCCAATTGTAGATGTAACTCATGCGTAATCTACCGCAAATTTAACGGCCAATTAAATGAACATTTGATGTCTGACATAATTAAAGAGCAACAGAGGCTGTATAAAGTCCCTAAAACCTTGGAACCGAATAAAGATTTCCTAATTGAAATGTATTTTCTTAAAGATTTAGCATCAGGGTATGAGCCTAGTTACATGCCATTAATCATGCAATGCCCCAACACTCGTTATTCACTTATGTTTGCCTGGCCTAAGCATACTAGTAATAATTTCTCTATGGGTAACTGTGCATCAATTTTTAATTTGTTGCGTAGAGATTGGATGATCACTGAACATTTCGTGAAGGCCAAAGACCTGTTTGCCCGATATCCTTTCCCCGAATCTGTAAGGATTCGCATTTCATATAAAATATTTTATGAAAAGTATTTACACGTCTATGCTTTAGGTTTTCATGAAAGTTTCGGAGATCCCGCAAAATATGAGTTCACAACTACTTTATTTGATTTTAAAAAGCGTTTTCAGAATAGTGATTTAATTTTTTCTTGAGCTATATTATGGGCAAATTTTTTTAAGGGTAGTTGTAAATCATATGAGGTGTCGTCAATCAAAAGTTATCATGGTGAGATTAGAGATTTTAAGAAAAGGTTACACGAATTGATGAAAATTAGGTCATGTCTAATTGTAACTTAGGGCGATGCGGTATTATTAATTGTCGACTATATACTAAGTTTTTACAAATAATATATTGGTGTTAAAGATCGTAAGTTTTATTGTAATTTTACAAATTTCACAATTTATTACAGTATGTGGTTTAAGATTGAGTTAGTCTGTATTGGAAAGTTAGTCTGTATTGGAATTAAAATCGTGAATTCTATAATAATTTACAACAAAACTTTGTTACAAACTTACTGATGATTGTATGACATAAAGTATGTGGTTAAGGTGAAATTAATTATATTGGAATTAAAGTTGTAAAAAAAAAAAAAATTATTATGACACCTTGAGTCACGAATAGGGCTGTGTTACGAAAGGTTTCAATCTTATAATACATATGATTTATGTAAGTTTCAGTGAATTGGGTTTCATATAATTTTCATCACATTATATATAAAATACTGGTTTACGAAGTTCAGTCAGCATTATTGTATAAGATTTAAATACTGTACAGTACGTGATCAGAATTACAATAAATCTCAGCTATTAATATTGTGTTCAAAATTACAAATTACTTAACATGAAAATTTATTGAAACTTGCCCAAAATTACAGTAATTTACATCCTTAGTCATGAATTTTATCATTATTTACAGTAAAAAACTTTGTACAAAACTTATCAATACGTGTTGGTAGAGATAATGATTAAACAATTGTTAATGAATTTGAATTGTAATGGCATTTTTAATCATAACTTGCTCATTGGTATATTAGTCTTAACATTCTGATTACGTTTTGTAAAACCAATCAAAAGCGTTAAAGCATACACCGATTATATTGGTTATAAATTACGATCGCTAAGAAACATTGCGATTATCAAATGAGTGCTGCCAAGGGAAAAAGGCCGATCGGACTTTTAATATATGTTGTGTACAGTTACGTCTATGGAAAATTTATCATTATAATAAATTTTTCATAGACGATTAACTGTACACAAAATATATTGAAAGTTCGATCGGCCTTTCCCCTTGGCAGCACTCAAATCTAGACGGTAAAAAATTTGACCAACAAATTTTTTTAAAATGGAAAAATCTAAAAATAGACAATTTAAACTTATAACGGAATTACAATTTCTCTTGATATTTGTTAATAAATTACTTTACAGAAACCTGTATTTTTTGCCAAATATATTTAATATGAAAGAGCAGACATCATAAGTAGAGATGGGAAAAATGCGTACTTTATCTTTATGTTCATTCATTTTCTTTTCGGAATTTTTCAAAACTTCTGCATTCTTTTAATTTTGCCTGGCATTATACACCTTGGCCTAAATTAAATATACGATAACAATAAAATACTAAATTAGTGCTCGGCAAAATCAAACAAAAACTTGAAAATCAAGTTTTTGAATCTATCGATTTACAGTATTGTGCTTTACAGCTGTTTTCATAAATTCTGGGACACCCTAAAAAAATTTGCCGAAGTCGATAAGTTATTGATTTCGGTATGAT